CTGTAAACATTTCCAATGGATGTCAATTAAAAATTTATGGTGTAATTCAAAAGCTGGAAACCAAGTCTAGGGCCTATAGGTTATAACTTTAGAAATAATAATAATAATAATAATAAAAGAAAGAAAGTTAAATTGAGTAGTGGTGTTGGTACCTGAGCTATGCATCCACCAAGTCCCATGCCCTCAAAAAATTGATGAAATGTCAAGGCAGCCACAAGAGGCCTTATGGTTTTTGGAGTTTCAGAAGCACCCAGGGAAATTCCAATAATTACAGAGTGGACTATAATTCCCAATTCCAAAACCTACAATATAATACCAATCATTGGTCACAATATATATATATATATATATATATATATACACATTAATTAAAATTATTAATGTATCATTACTAATATAAATATTCGAGTAATAAGTGTTGACATGCAACAGAGAAACTATTCAAACTATAATTTTTTTTAAGTTTAAACTGCTCTCATTCCAACTTGTATTTAAACCACTAAAATATTTGACTATTCAAGTCAATTTCATGATTTGTGTGTGTGTGAGAGAGAGAGAGAGAAACTTCATTGCATTCTCTTTGTTTGGCCTTGAAATTGAAACAAAACAAATAAACATAATTTTCTCATTTATCCTCATGTTAGTTTTGATCAAAGTATTACAATCACAAAATTCTATTCAAATTGAGAGAAATTGTAATACATGAGCATAATTCGAGAGTTGGTTTGAAAATTTTATATCTAAGTCGATGCAAAATAACAAACTTAAGGATAAAAGAATCTGATATGCACCGCACACTCCTCCCCTACCCTAGTGGAACCTCCACCCTTTATTAAGCTTTATCCTCCCCTGGTCAACTTACGTAGGGTTCTATAGAACCAAATCACCATAAGATAATATGGAAAATAGTTTAAATGTGAAAAAAAAAAGATAAAAAAAAGAAAAGCAAACAGATCATAAAAAATAAATAGTAAAAAGCACCTGTGATATAACACGATGACGAAGTAGTTCAGATGAATCCGAATCCCCTTCAGAGAGTACCGATCCATGGGCATGACCATTTGTGGCATGCGTGTGAACATGAACATGACCATCATCATGCCCATCAACTACCATCTCTTCATCGGGCCTTGCTTTGTTCAAGTGTGATTTCTTGTAGTAAGAAGTAGCATAGGTATCAACCATAAGAGTACCCATTGCCGATACCATGGCCACGAACCCTGTAAACGGAAAGTTCTGCCATGGATTCGCATTCAAACACGGCGATGTCAAGTGATCAAAAGCATCAGGAAGCACGTGTATAAACCCAGTTGCTAGAATGACACCCGCTGCAAAAGCTTTGATGACGAAAAATAAATCCCTATCGGGACTTAAACTCGGTATGGTCTTGCTCAATACTGGAAGACACACACCGATTGCACCGGCTACAAGGATTGTGGCTATGGCGATCAGTTTGTATATAAGTGCTTTTCTCTTGTTATGACCTCCTTCTTCAGCATCACATGTACACTCACCGGAAACTATGGCGGGAAGGAGTATGAGAAAGGCCAAAAATAGTGACTTTTGAACTCTTGAATGTGAGCAGGGCTGATCAAGAAGCTTGTTCATGGTGATGGATAATATTGAAGAGAGAGAAAAAGGTTTATTAGGTAAAATGGTATAAAGATCAGTTTAAGGCCTGAAATGCACGGAAGGAACAGATTGTTCGTTATATAGAGGAAGTAGTGTGATAAACTACGCCTACTTTTTGCACCTCCAAAACACACGCAACTTTTGGGGACTGCCGAATTCAGTTTTTGTTTGAATAAAAATATAGTGTGATCGAATTTTATGACCAACAGAATACAGTGTTAAAATGACTTCTTTAAATATTTTAGGAAAAATTTCAATCACATCCATTTTAGTTTATTATATTTTCAAATGTATCCCATCTATTATTAAAAAATATTATTGACACTCTTTTTAGTTTATATTTAAACATCATGGACACCTTATTTTTAATAAAAACAATTATCAAAAATATCAAAAATACCTCTACATAAAACCTCAAATAATCTTTTCTATATAAAATTCGATTAAAATTCGAACTGATTAAAATTTTTTTTTTTATATATTAAAATTTATTTTTTTACATATTAAAATTTGAGCTGATTAAAATTCGATTCGAGCTGATTAAACTTTATTTTTTTTAAGTATTAAAATTCGAGCTTATTAAATTTTATTTTATTTTATGTATTAAAATTCGAATTGATTTGAGCTTTACTCGAGTTATTAGTGCCGATAAAAATTGTCTTTAGTCGATTAAAGTATATATTTTTTTTACGTATTAAAATTCAATTCATTAAAATTTGAGTCAATTAAAATTTATATTTTTTTATGTATTATAATTTAGGTAGATTGAAATTCAATGCAAGTTGATTAAAATTTTATTTGAGCAGATAAAAAATAATTTTTGAATTAGCTCAAATTGTAATACGTAAAAAAATATAATTTTTAATCGACTCGAATTTCAATACATAAAAAATAAATTTTAATTAACTCGAATCGAATTTTAATTAGGCTAAATTTTAATACGTAAAAAAATTTAGAAAACAGAGGAGTTTCATTGAAGATATTATTATCTAAAAGGGTTGTGGATGAAATTTGTCATCAAATATATCACGTGTAATTTTGTAAAAATATATTCTAGTTAATATTTTTAACCTAACATGCGTGTCTGTGAAAATTTAAAAAATAGAAAGGTGTTGTTAAAAATATGATAAATTAGAGGGGGTGATGTTAAAATTTTTCCAATATCTTATGTTTATAATAGTTTAAGATACGCCGTTTCAACGACCTGGCAAGTATGAGGACATTGCGAAGATAGTTGTCAAGTTCCATTGCACAACTGCAATATTGAAAACAATAATCATGTAATTCAGCATAAATGTTAGATTTTAGTGAATTTTATTTAACATTGAAAATTATTATTGATAAAATAACTATGACGAATTGGGTCAATAAATTAGGTATAAATAATATTTTTTTACCAAAAATAGCTAACATATCTTGTACAATATTTGGCTTACTCTTGAGAATTTATGCATCCCTCCTATAATACATTCACCAAATAAGTACTAGAAAATAAAATCCAAATGCAACCAAAAAAAAAAAAATGATAGTGTGACAACATGAACACATTTTTTTTTTTATATCCATCACAAAATCACTATTATAATAAATTTAATCATTTTAGAAGAAAGAAATTTAAGTTCTTGCCTAAATATTAGACAACATGAGAGAATCACACCAACTAAATATTAGATTCATTGACCTAGAAAATTGGGCTTAGAAGTTTGGGAAAACATGTCGACATAATGGTACCATTGAGAGTGGAATTTTTGATGAGCTCACATTTAACTAAGCAATTGTTAGTCAACCACTTTGCCAATTTCTTCTAGTTTTTCTACATTATCTATCTGTACGCATAATATCATCTCCTCATCTCTAATATATATTTTTTTAGTTATTTTTTATATATTATCTGTCATTCATTCAAATAAAATTTATTTTATATAAATGAGTCTTTCAATTATCAATAATGAATCTTTTACTCATTAATCACAGATGATGTATAAAAAAAATATATAAAATATATTAGAGATGATCTAAATCCAACGCATCTTGTGGCTCCTGACGAGGTCCAATTGTATTTTTTTTTACTTAGAAAAACAGTTTAATGTATGTCAGCATAACTTATGTACCCCATTTTTTAAGGAGACAGCCACAGAAGTCAACTAAAAGTGGCATCCCAGGCAGATAGACTCTCCTTGAACCATCCTAGATCTTTTCAATCAACTCAAGAGTATACAGAAAAATAACAAATGTGAAAATTTAAACAGCATCATACAATACAAGGGTAATTCTACTTACCCAACAAAATAAAAAAAAAATGGTACTATATCTAAAATTATTATTTTTTAAGGTTTAAGTAACATTTTAAATGTGAAGTTATTATTGCTTGAGGTAAATTTATGATTAATCATGAATACCTCCTAATCAACTGTAACTTCATTTTTAAAAGGTGTAAATTGACTTTTAAAAGTTACAATTTTACATTCAGAAGGTTTAACATCTATGATTGATAATCATATTTTAGAATCAATCATGATATTTTTAGTTGTAAGTTTTACCTTAAAAACTTGCAAATTTTGGTATGGTATCGACTTGAATACAATAATTTTCTCTCTAAATACAAATCAAGAAATGACATTCCAATAGATGCATTTTTACTATTCCAAGATTTAAAAAGAGAATCAAACATACGTAACCCAGTAGCGAAGCACGTTGGGTTTAAGGGCAGTTGTCCCCTCTCTTTTGGATTACATTTGATGAGGACATATATTACTATTTAATGTACTACATTACCCCCAAAAATTTTGTTAATAATTTTCATATTGATTCTTGTCTCTTATTTTTCCAGTAAATTAGTGATTTACTAGCCTCTAAAATAAATGTTTTATTTTTGGATTGAGTAAACAAAAGATTAATGTCTTGACGAAAATACAATACTTTACTTCTGTCTAACATAATGTACATTTTTTTAAGAACAGCTGTGTATTAGCTATTTACTATTTTTCGGTAAGTTTGTAGTCTATCTATAATATAAAACAGGGTGGGTTCAACAAGTCGATCGCACAGTCACAATTCATTTCATCCAACGGTCACAGATCTTCACATTTCCTCTCAAATTCATCATTTTTAACCCACAAATTTATTCAAAAATCTGATCGTTCAGTCACTTCATCTGCCAACAGTCACTTCTTTTCCTCGGTACAACAGAAAAAATGGCTTGGACATCATTTTTTTCCCCCAACCCTTATGTCAGACGCTTTCACAGGCCATCTCACTCTCTGTCTGTATCTTTATCTCTGTTTCTTCTTACCAGCAACATCATCGTCACCGCCGAAGCCGGTAACACCACCACCGTCACTCTCTCTCCCTCTATTTCTTCTTACCACCATCCATCGCTGAAGTCAGCAACACCACCACTGCCCCAGCGACACCACCAGCAACGTCGCTGCTAACCCCTCCCAGGTATGCCTCATCTCTCTCTCTCACATACACACACACACACCCATCCTACCCCCGTCTCTTCCCTGCCCTCTTCTACGCACTCATCACCCCCATACAAATCGCACACACATACACGCCCAACACAGACCCACCACACACCCATTCACCCATCACACACCCACTCAGCCACACACACCCAAAAGGGAAGAAGCTGGATGATTTAATGTCGAAGAGAGACCCACCACACACCCATTCACCCACGATTTACTTTGGTTGTTTCAGAGAGACTTCAAATCCTATTCACTGACTCATCGAACAGGTGTAGTAATTTTTTCCTTGACAATATATTGTTTAGAGGATTAAAGTAAGTATGATTTTTTGAGGATTCAATGCTAACTTTTTTTATTCAAATTTCTTTTTCTTTTTCTTTGTGCAGCATTCTATTGATTACTAGCTGTGTTAGGGTTTGAAAAACCCACATTATGGGTTTGTTTTACTTATTGGATTTTTATTGTCACTGGATTGCTTTTAGACTAGAGCAATGTGTGGTAGCTTGGAAAGAGTGAAATTTTAGGCTGCGAAATTCCCAATTTATTTGGATTATGTTATGGATTGGTTTTCAAGTTGATTAATGTAGGTCTACTTGATTATCTAATCTCCAGCCCTGGATTCGTTTAAAGTTGATTGGTGTAGGTCTGTTTAATGGTTGGAACGATTGTATGTTCACTTTTCTCTTTAGATGGTTTGTTTGCTTTTCTCTTTGGGTGGTTTGTTCGCTTTTCTCTTTCTACTAAATGCGTTTCAGAAATCTAATAATGAGAAGTATTGCATTTTATACGTTACATCATACTCGTTTATTATTTTGCCAAGGCATGTTGCATTTTATACGTTACATCATACTCCTTTATTATTTTGCATCCTATACGTGTAAGTGTTCACAATGTAGATATATGTGTATGTCTAAGTTTCTCGGTGTTAATTTTTTAAGTTGTTTAAAAATGATCAATGTGATGCACGATGAGCAATGTTAATCGAATATTAACTAAGTTGGTGCATAGAACTCACATAAAATTATTTTAGAGCTATTAATGCAGCTTTGCCCAGCCCCATATCCCAACATCAAACAAATTATTTTGGTATATAAATATGTCGTGTTATCAATTGGGGGACTTATTATTACTAAGATTAGGTTTTCATTGTCTTTTTGAATCTTCAAATAATTGGGTTTTCATACTCATTAATTTTATTGTGGTCTTTATATATTTGGTGTCGATTGTCATCCAATTCTTTGTCTTTATTGAAGTCGTATGTTTGTTTAAACATGACCTTGGAACATACCAATGAATTATCTTCTTTTTTTTTTGAATGTATGAATATTTGTGTTACGTAGAGCCGTTTAAAGTTTGTTCTATGTTTACCATAGTTAGTCACCACTAGAGGTTTGTTTAATTATATACTTATGGTAATATTTTTCACCCATTTTATTATTACTTCTTACCTATATAGATATTGAAGTAATTATATTTTAATTATATTTATAGGTCCAGTTACTT